TGGTATACCTTGGCATGTGCTGGAACCTGCTGGAAGGATTGGATGGTCAGGTGACCTGCTGTGCATGGCTGTGCATGACCTCATATGACCTCATCCTTGGTCATATGACCTGATCACCTGACTAGGCTGAGTAAGTAAGATGTTCTAGCAGGTTCCACCGCAGAGGTATAAATATAAGGCCTACTCTGCCTGGGGACTGTCTCTTCAGACTTGGTCTCTTAGGATCATCCACAGGTACCTATACTGTAGATAGGTCTTAGTCATCAGGTCTACTCCACTTCCTTGTTGCCTGCTTAGACTCTTGGCACTCGCAGGTGAGCAGACTTAGTCAGCCTGTGTTGCCCTAACACAAACACAAGAGAGCATGCATCACATTGGATGGACAGCCTCGATGCAATGGGCAACTTCTTGTGCACATGCTGCCATGGAATCATCATCTGCTCAGCAGACATGATACATAGTGGTGAGCTGTGGGTTTGTTTTTTTGATCAAGGCAAGGACTTTCACTGTGCTAAACATGTGAGCAGGTCCAAATATCCACTGGCATGCATCTGCAAGCTCTTGTCAGCATATGGACATGACCTTGCCATTGGATATGACATTGGCTGTGATCACAGCAAGACATTGGCAACAAGTATTCTTGGACAGGAAGCTCAAGAGAAGAACTTGAAGATGTACATTGGCACCTTCCATGGGTACACTCACAATCACAAGTGCCAGCTCCAGTTCCACCCACACTTCCTCATGATGGCCAGCTCAGAGACAATTGAGACAAATGAGTGGGTGTTCTTGAAGCAGAACCTCATGGTGCACTTGTTTCCATATGCTTTGGCATACCATTGGCACATGACCTTGCACTTCTTCTGGATATGATGGGATGAGGACCAATGCTGTGGGCTTGGTGAAGATCTTTTGCATGGTTTTCTCTTACCAGCTAATCAAGCATGTAGGCAACCTCTTGTACAAGAACTACGTGGCAGCTTTGAACATCATTGCCAAGACTGAGCCGAAGCTCTGCCAAGTGCAAGCTGAGCAACAACTCTCTGACAACAACATATGCAAGTTTATCAAGGAAGAAAAGGCTTATTTTCAACAACTTCAGCATGAGCCCAAGGAGAACAACATGGTGTTCAAGTACATGGAAACACTCAAGGAGCTTCAACAATGCTCATAGGTGGCATCATTCCATCTCTTGTCCTTCACCACAAGACAATGAGTGCTTCAACTTGACTACAATGCCATGCTTCAGGTGCATGAGCAATACAAGCACTTAGCTTTGTGATATGAGGCCTTGATGGAGACTGAGTGCTGGACAGAAGACATGGTTCAGTGGCATCAAGTGGAGCTTGCACTTGCACAATGCTCCTACAACCAAGCACTTGACAAGTTGGAGGGCTTGGTCATGCAGTGCTTGTTTGAGATGGAGAAGCTAAATCTTTGTGGAACAGGTAAGAATTTCAGATCATGTGCATGAACATGATCCAGAAGCTTTTACAGGGTATGCCATGTGAACATTGATCACCAAGGCCATGCATGAGCATAGTGGAGCAATCCAATCCACCTTGGAGAAGCACAACAAAGCGGCCCTTGCCCTTGACCCCCCTCAACCAACTCTAACCTACCAAGAGGTTGTCAACATGTCCTTCTTGTCTGACTTCACCTTGTTGCACTACTCCCACAATGACATGTGCAAGCGCTGGTGGACTGATCCCCTTGTTTGGCAGACAATGCTCAATTGGATGCTCATGCAGTGTGCCAAGGAGGAATCAAGCACCTGAACATTGAAGTCTGGCGCTTGTGGATGTTCTTGCATTTCAAGCTGCATGCCATCCTTGCAAGAATCAAGCAAGCAGAAGCACATGGCCAACTGCTTCTGGCAAGCGAGATGAGCTTGTGGCTTGGGCAGCTTCTTCAAACACATCGGCACATCTGCCAGCACTTGTTGATGCTCTCCAACTTGGATGGTTTCACCAGTGATCAATCAATTGGCATCCGCATGGGCACCTATGAGTGGCAAGACATGTTCTACCCACCAGCTCAAGAAGATGCAAGTTTGCCCAAAGTCAAGGAAGAAGAAGATGCATGGGAAGACATGCAGGAGGGCAATCTTGAAGATCAGGGGGAGATTGATGATGATCTCTTGGATGAGTTTGACCACCTGAATTCTGCCTTCTCCCACTTGTCCATCCACAGCAGGTAGGACATGTAATTTCACAATGATTACATTGTTACCCCATCCATGTGCATGTACTTATTGATCTAAATGCAATACTACATTCCTGAACATGACACCCCTCAAACTCTTCTCTGAACAAGTGGCAGGGCATGGAAGGTCTAGGTACAAGCGCATCTGGTGCCTCCAGGTCATATCATAAAAAATCCCCTTGTAATGGAAGAAGAACAAGAAGTTGATAGATGTACATGAGGTCATGAATATATGAGACGAGTGAAGGATAAACAGGAACGGATGTGTGTTTACAAGCCCTTCACTAGGGTGCTGAAAGGATCTTAATGTAATATAGTTAATTAATGCCTGTAGGGCATTGTAATAAGAATAAATTATACTTACACTGAGAGTTTTTGGACACCTGGGTGCAACTCTCATTTGCAAGACTTTTTAATACATCCATGTGTACAAGCTTGTACACATGGACATGTTTTGGAACAACAAATCATGCCACACAAGCTCAAAATTAAGTCATATTTTCCAAGAATTTCAAGAAACAATTAATTCATGAACATGCACAAGGTACTTGTCTTTATTCTTCTATCTCGACAGTGATGATGTCTGTTTGCTGAGCAACAAGTGCTGGAACATTGACTTGCACATGACTTGAGACCCCCGAAACTGGTTCTGCTCACACCCTTTCTATTCATTCTTGCATCACAGAGGTGTGTCATCATCATCATCTCTTTCCTTTCTTTGTCGACAATGACCACAACTTGACAACAAGCTCATCTCTCTGGAACATCAACAAGAACAAGCTCTTTGACATCTACAATGAGTCTCAGGCCAAGGCTGTTGCTTGACTACTTGAATGACAAGGAGTGCAGAGACTTCATGGGGGGTAGCATGTTCTTGCACATGCAGAGGACAGGGGAGCACAACCCTGTCTTTGCAGAGGATGCGGATGCAGTTGAGGAGGTTGTTCCTCATATGCATACTTGTTCTTGGTCTCCTTGGCCCAAGCTCATGTGCATATAGGCATGTACCTGACAATCTTGTTCCCCTTCAATGTCTGGTTCAATAACCCCCATATGGGTGGCAAGAACTTGCTGAGGGGGCTGACACAGAAGGTCATCCACTCGTTTGATTCCAAGGGCATGGTGAACTGTGCCAAGGCCAGGGACAACCCCCCTGAGTGGGACAAGATCATGTCAGATGGTCTTGACCTTGTTGGCTATGACACCCACCCATGGACATCCAAGATCAATGGTGAAGTCAGGCATGACATGTACTTCAATTATTTTATGCCAGAACTCTTCAAGCTCATAAGTGGTTCTCATACATGTTCTTGATGCTTGCTGATGATCTTGTAGTTGACCCTGATCAACCACTGCTGTGGAAGTGTCATCCTTGAGTTCTATGCCAGACACTTGGACAATGGCCCCAGCCAAGAACCCACCATCCACACATTCTTGAGAAATACATGGATTGACAAGGACTTCAACCAGTGTCAAGATCATGCAACAAAGATCTTCAAGGCCATGGGGTTCATTAAGGCTGACCTCATGGACCAAGCAACCACCTCTCAAGCTGTCTGTCAGGGCACCAAGCACAAGAGGGACTGCTTGGAGTTGGCCTACAGCAAGAAGGTTGACCAAGTGTGTCACAGCAGACAACCCATCCCTCCCAAGCCCGAACTCCCTGAGGTCCCTTGTGTCAAGCAGCATCCTCTCTCTGTTGTTGATGCCAAGGCCATCCCCAAGGACTTGCCCTTGCTCACATATGCCAAGGCCTTCGTTGAGTGGGAGAAGAAGGAATTGAACATTGGGACCAATGCTACACCAAGCAGCTTCCTCTCGCTCTTGGCCTCCACCAATGCTTCATCATCCTCCCCAGCTGTCGGCATGCCCAAGCCCTCTCAGAAGGCAAGAACAAGGAGTTTGGCATGCCAACTCCCTCCAGCAGTACAACCATGTGTCATGGACATGCTGAAAGCGCAAGTTTGGTTGTGTTGGGTCCACCCAGGATGCCCATGCCCTTGGGCTTGCCCTTTAGCCCTACTGTCCCTCCTTCCACCCAGCCCATGAGCACGCTGATGGCCACCTTGACTGTCAGCTCCCCCTTGCACATCTTTGACGCTGCTGGAACAAGCCACATGGTGCATACCATTGGATGTGGCAAGGTCCTCACCCCAGCCCCCACCAAGTCCTTCTCCAGGCTTGTGTTCATGCACCCCACCACCAATGAAGGCTACTCCCACATGCACGACTTGCCCTACAACACCCATGCCACCTGTGAGAACTTCTTCCATGGTGTTGGAGAAGAATGTGCTTGTCAAGTTGAATACAACTTGCATGTCTTGTACTTCTTCAATCATCCTGGTACTTGGATGGACAGTGTGAGCAACTTCATCCCCTCGACCTACTGGAAGGACATCCACCCAGTCATGAATGAGGATCACCTCCTCAACATTTGTAACAGCACCTTCTGAGACAAGGATAAGGACAAGGCTCAGATGGGCAACAGGAAGGGTGGGTGGGCAAGTTTCTCTTTTTCATACACATGGTTCAAGTTTCCCCACATGGCCTGGGCATGCAGGATGCCTCACATGGCCTGAGCATGGGGGAGGTCTTGTAGTTTACAAAAAAGCACTTGTTTTCTGTTCATGTTAGGGCAACACAGGCTGACTAAGTCTGCTCACCTGGGAGTGCCAAGAGTCTAAGCAGGCAACAAGGAAGTGGAGTAGACCTGATGACTAAGACCTATCTACAGTATAGGTACCTGTGGATGATCCTAAGAGACCAAGTCTGAAGAGACAGTCCCCAGGCAGAGTAGGCCTTATATTTATACCTCTGTGGTGGAACCTGCTAGAACATCTTGCTTACTCAGCCTAGTCAGGTGATCAGGTCATATGGAGGACATGCACAGCCATGCACAGCAGGTCACCT